TTATTACATGAAAGTTCTCTAAGTGATAGAAAAACATATGGAAACTTTTTTTTTCATTTATGGTGTTTTCTTTCAATAAGACTAAATAAGTAATACGTTTCGAAGGAAAATTATCTATAATTTTTTGACCAATTCCTTTACAATATACACACAAACTAACTTGACGATTATATGCAAATTGTTATTTTTACAGAAAGTAGAATGGGGAAAGGTGAACATGATTGAGGCCGAGCGGAGATTACTTGCAAATGCACTTCTTGACATCTCCAATGAACGTTTCGTTCTCCTCTCAGAAGCATGCATTCCATTATTCAATTTCTCCACCATCTACTCTTACCTTACCAACTCCTCCCAGACCTTTGTGGAGGTCTACGACCTGCCCGGCCCGGTGGGCCGGGGCCGCTACAGCAACCGCATGAGCCCGACTCTCAAAGTCGGGCAATGGCGAAAAGGATCGCAATGGTTTGAAATGGACCGTCGTCTCGCCCTCGAGGTAATATCGGACAAGAAATATTTCCCGCTCTTCAAAGCACATTGCTCCGGGAATTGTTACTCGGACGAGCATTACTTGCCCACTTTGATGAACATCAAGTTCGGGAGGCGCAATGCGAACCGGACCTTGACTTGGGTAGACTGGTCGAAAGGCGGGCCGCATCCGTCCCGGTTTAATCGGAACGATGTCACCGAGGAGTTTCTAAACAAGTTGAGGAGTGGGAGCAAGTGTCTTTACAATGGGGAAGAGACAACAATATGCCATTTGTTTGCCAGGAAGTTCACCCCACATGCTCTTAGCAGATTGCTAATTATGGCACCAAAAGTTATGCACTTCAATGGATGGTGATATTGAGCAACAACAGCAGAAATGTATAGACGGCATACACATATTCATTATAGCGTGGCTGGGTTAGGTAATTGATAGCCATCGACTAATCAATCGGGAGTGATTTGTTATTTTGACAAAAAAAAGTGTGACAAGATTTCTCGTAAAAATGAGCTGATCATTGTTTATTTTCTAATTCTTTTGGTACTATGTCAATATATCCATTCTTTTATTTTTTGTTGCACTCTCTTGCTTTATTGTTTAGAATCCCTCTTGTTTGGTTTTTTGTCACAACATTTTGTGCAATAGGAGTGTGGCGTGTGAGCACCAGCCGGCGAGGGAAGTGGTGGGGCTTGGGCATGTCATACTCAATAATCAATATATTTAGTGATGGTAATTTTTTTCATACTCAATATAAATTGATTTACCACTTTTAGTGCTTATGTTGAAATAATATGCAATTAAAATAAAAATCTATACGGTGATTCGTGGAGACCACGGGAAGGAGCGGGGATGGGGAACTTTTGAAACAAAGGCTAGGGTGGGGGGAGTAAACCCCGGCATCAATAGGTCTCATTGACATCCATTGTTTTCACAAAAAGCTACGAGTATAACAATGTATTTTTTTTAAGAAAATAAAAAATGATGATAATCAAACGACATTGTTGCACCTACTACTCGAATAAGAATTTAAACGTATAAAATTATTCTGATTAGAAAATGAAATTTATAAATAAGTAATCCGATTTCACTAGCAACTTTATTCAACTCGCCTTCCCTGATCTTGTCTTCTTCCAAATGTTATACTCCCTCCGTTCCAAAAAGGTTGGCCAAATTTTCTTTTTTGGATGTCCCAAAAAGATTTGTCATTTCCATTTAAAGTAAGGAATATGTGGCTAAAGTTAATTCTCTCCCCTCTGTACAAATTTCAACTATACAGTTTGTTGGATAATTGATACCCATATTGTATAAACAGGAGAAATTGAACAAGAATCAAAAGGAGTAATGGAGAAGAAGAAGAAAATGTGTAGAATGAAATAATATTTGTTATGAGTTACAAGCCTCCTATAAGGAGTATATATAGGGAAAATCCGGGTCTGGGCCTCTAATACGGGCCTGACAGACCCGGTTACATAAATAGACTGATAGTATAAAAAACTAATCTAGAACATCAGAATAATAATGTACAATAATAAGAACCCTCTAAACGTGTGTGGGCCGCTGTCCAGGCCCAATAGTCGGCAGACCGGGGGGTCGGAGTCCATATACTCCATCAGGAGTCCCCCACTCCCTGAGTCGAGAGTACTCGAGGCGAAAGGGAGTAGTCCAAACTGTAGCTGCAACGTTCTTCTGTCTTTGGTTTCTTCCTCTTCGGTCGGGGGATCACCACCCTTGTCCATGATGGGGAGGTGCCTCGTTAAAAACCTTTACTAGGAAAAACCCAGTGGGAAAAAATCCTAATAAAGGGAAAAAGAGTACACCTAGCGCCCCCAACATGAAACAAGGAAGGTAAATCCCCTCCGGCATAATCAATCTAGCTCAGCTCCTCTTCAACTGACTCAGCTCTCGTTCTTGCTCTTGCGTGATATTTTCTGCTCATCTAGAAACTCTGACCCCTCAGTCCCCCAGTCCCCACTCTTTGAGGCGAGTGGAGACAAGGTGAAAATGAGTAAAGTCATCTTCGTACTTATCTTTTTTAGGTGGGCTGAAATATTTGATGGGTTGAAATCCAGCCCTTTGAAAGAACTTGCCCGAAAATGGTCTGGCCCATTATCATTGGTGAGAGTCAGTCTTGGGCTTGACGTAGTCTTGGCCCAAATTGTATCTTGACTCATGGACCAATTTTGACCCAGCTTTTGCCCATTAATTTTGTCCGCTCCAAATGTTGATAGATAAACCAGAGAAGATGCTCCAAGAGACCTATCACGCTAGCTGGATTAGTACACTGGATATGCCCCATGAGGAGATGGCAGCAGCTCTGCAGTCCCTTCCCATGGACCCATACGGCCATACCAATTGCAGAAGTCTCGCTGGCAAGCCTTAGAGAAGCCTGGCCCTTCATCTCCCGCAGCTGGTATTGGGTCTGGAGTAATGTGGAAGCTGCTCCCCAGCTCTGTCCTTCATCAGTTATGGTGGAAGGAGTGAGGGGCGAAAATTGAGCTGCTGATCTCTCCCATTGTCAAGACCAGTTCGTCCTCCTTTACATTCGAGCTTCGTTCCAGGAATTCCGGGTTTGGGCGTGAACAAGAGGAAAACAGGTGTTATTCCTGATGCTGGGACCGTGAGCACAGCTCTCAGACGGCCATTAATGGAGGAAGCTCACAGAACAACTCAGAAATCCACCAGCCACGACCGTCGTTGTTTAGCTTTTCTGATATATAGGTCAAGGTCTAGCTGCGACGGAGGCAGAGCAGCGAGCTGTTACCGTGACCAAGCTCACTGTTGAGCTTCTAGCGAATAGATCTTCTGGAGAGGGGGTCATTTGGCCATTGCCGCCGCACGACGGGAGGGCTGAGTCGCCGGAGTTTCTGCTGCCAAGGCTGAGAACCGTGTGGTCTGCTGTTACCTGAGATAGGTCATGTCCTCGGATTCCTTAGGTGATGAAGAGACCTCTGGCCGCCCATCTCCTGCTGCACCCTTGACCTGGCGACGCTGTGAAAGACTGATAGGTGCGAACGACGGCGAGGTCTGGAGATGCAAACGCACTTTGTGAGTTCCAGCGTGCTTCGATGGAAGCTGCAAAGCGACGGGCCTGCGTCGTTACCCCCAGGAGCTTCAACCGGCCATTAATGGCGGATATTTTCCATTAAGCCATAAAGAGAGCCAGGGCGCTGCAAAGGGGAGGCATATGAACAAGCTAAGGGCAAAAGGAGGCGGTGCAAGGCCGGAGGAGTAGCGAGCTGCTTGTCGCCGGATTCTGTGTCGCATCTTGTCCCTTGACTATGTGCTGCTTTGGACCATCCAAACCTGGCGGGAATGGCTCCGGACTTGCCAGATCTCAGTTTTTCTCTCCTTTTTCTATTTTCCATAACAGTTTTTTGTTGATTTTTTCAAGATTGGTATGAAATTTTTGGTATTTTGGGAGGTTTTCTCACTTGATTGTGTTCAACCTCTCAACGAGAGCACCATTGTTGGATAATTGATGCCCATATTGTATAAACAGGAGAAATTGAACAAGAATCAAAAGGAGTAATGGAGAAGAAGAAGAAAATGTGTAGGATGAAATAATATTTGTTATGAGTTACAAGCCTCCTATAAGGAGTATATATAGGAAAAATCCGGGTCTGGGCCTCTAATACGGGCCTGACAGACCCGGTTACATAAATAGACTGATAGTATAAAAAACTAATCTAGAACATCAGAATAATAATGTACAATAATAAGAACCCTCTAAACGTGTGTGGGCCGCTGTCCAGGCCCAATAGTCGGCAGACCGGGGGGTCGGAGTCCATATACTCCATCACAGTTTTTACTTTATTAATTCATGTGAAAGTCAACTTTGACCAACCTTTTCGGATCGAAGGGAGTAATATGTTAGATGGTCCTTCCCACAAGCATAGTCTCCTCCCCATTTATTTCTTTCGTGCACATCCATTGATCCATACTACCTTGAATACACTCTTCGTTATTTTATCTCAAGTACCCGTCACTTTTGCTTAGTCACATTCTCTTCTAAGCCCATCATGCTCGACTCTCACTAAGAACCCTTTGTACGGGTCACAATATGCTTCTGCTTAATCACATCCTCCTAATCCCATTATGCTCAACTCTCACTCGGAATCAACAATCTATTACCCAGATACACTCCTCCTTTTCTCATTGTATGCCCGCAACCAAGACTCCCAATCCGGTCCCAAACAATACCAGACCCGATTCCAAATCAGGCCAAACCGCCGGACCCAATTTTGGTCCAGGTCAGACCGTGAACAATGAGCATGTCACCTTGTTTTTAAAAACTTAGGAGTCTTTCATGTCTTAAATTTGTTTAGAACCAATTTTCCCCTCATTGTCTAACCTTCATCCTTCTTTTCAACGCTTTGATAGATGAATACGCCATGGTCACCATGGAGATGATTCACAAGGAATTTTGTCCAAAATATTATGCATTAGAGTGTTTTCAGTTAAACTTATTTAAGACCAGATTTAAACAAAAGCATCTCATACAATAATGCATATATGCCAAACATTAATCAAACTAAACCGAACTATATTTAAACAAGTTACGGCCAAACATCCCTATTCGATCATTAATTTGGTTTACAACGAAATTACGAAAATGCTTTCCCACACAAATATAACAGCAATCGTATCTTACAAAGTTACAAGTATACTCATCATTATTTCTTTTAACATCATACCTTTCCTCTTGAGTCTTGGCTATATAAAATGCATGTAGTGTACCAAATCTTATAACAGGTTGCCCAGATTAATTGGTTAATCTTTTTTAACCGTGGACTGATATATGTAGAAGATATCCTTCTTCCTTATTTAACACTACTCTTCACAAGTTGAGCAAGAACGTAACACAAATGATTTTTACAATACAAAACTGTGAAATTATTTTACGCACACAGTAGTAGTAAGTATAAAATAATATTATTAATAATAATGAACTCGATTTCTAGTTTTGGGATAAACTGAAAGCAGTTAAATCTTGGGTAGAGCAGTTGGAGGATCAGCAGGAATATAAGAGCTTGCCTGCCAAAAAGAACATATTATACTTGAGAGCATAACTTCTTTTAATTACATAATTGGAATCATGATGGAGATCATATAAAATTCCTCACCTCCAGATATTTTGATAACATTGTTTTGGTGCTGAAATTAAAGCCTTCAATGGGTTCTCCATTCTTGCGGGATGCGTTTAGTTGCTTTCTTACTTGTGTAGCCAATGACTGCATTTAATTTATTTATTGAGAAAACACAAAGTAAATATTGTTCCACATGGAATATTATATTTGGAGCGCCAGAGCGTGATTATTTTATCATTGCCGGCAGGGTGAAAACCAAACAAGTCACGAGTGTTGAATGAAACGATTTACCTTTCCTAGCTCCACACCCCATTGGTCAAAGGAGTTGATACCCCATACAAAGCCTTGCACAGCAACCCGGTGTTCATAGATTGCTAACAACTGTATGAAAGGACAAAAAGGTAAAAGGGGTGTGATTAATCAGTCACATAAGAAGCTGATACATATGCTAGCAGCAAAGCAGCCATACACACTATCAATTGTTTTCTTAATAACCATATAAATACTGTAAAACATGACAATTGGAATGCAGCAAACACTAAGAAACATTGAAGATATCAAACCTGCCCAATATTATAAGCATCAAGTGATGGGAATAGTAAGCTTAGTGAAGGTCTGTTGCCTGAAAATGTCTGAAAAAACAAAGGCACGGTAAGGTAAACTCATGCATCTTTGCTAATATGGTTATTCAAATTGAAAGTGTGAAATACTTCAAGTAAAATCACCTTGTGAGACACGAGATGAGGAGGAACATTCTCCTTTTCTAACTGTTCTTGAGTCTGAAAAATTGCAGCACACATTAATTAAAAGTGATACCTCCTTAGATACAAGTAGTATACAACTAATATGTTGACAAGTTGTCAATTTCCTTATAAAGGAATACTTTTATATTATTCTATTTATAGGAAAATATGACTCCTAAAAGAAAAAGTTTTTTTTTGGATATTTTTGCCTTGCGTAGACACAGTAAGGGTAGAGTTTCGTAGTATATCCATTATTTCATCAGTATAAAGACTGTACACTGACTCAACAACGATCACAATTATCATGCACCTGAATTCTAGTAATTTACAGCAATTCAAAAGTTATGGAGGTTGTTAAAGGGGTGCCATGGTTACTTCACAAATTTTTTCCTAAAAAAAGAATAAATGAAATGCGGTCCTATTAATGGAATAGACAACATATTGTTCCTACCTAAGAAAATTTCCCTAGTTAAGTAGCCTTTAAAAAGACAGCAGAGAGATGATATAATCAGAAACAAGGTGATATCAAACAAAATGGAGTCATTTATTTTAACTGACATTGTTGTACGACCTCTAGTCAACTAAAATGCTAGACAAGTGAACCACCAAATGCTCGTAGTCTCGTACCTTCCCATAAGCAAGGGCATCAGGCTGTGCAAAGAAGTTCGACATGAGCTCATCATGGTTACTGACCACTTCGCCTGAAAATTTATGTTCTGTGATTTTTAGATATATAACAAAAGCATCCAAAAATAGCAGCTACTGCTGGGTTCTTAACTCGATAGTAAGGTTTTCCAAAAAAAAAAAAAAAAAATAACTTGATAGTAAGGCTTACTAGAGGAATGTAGAATGTTCAGAATTGTACCTTTCAGGTATACAGGTTGCTGACTCTTGACAGCACCAATGAAATCGCAAGGAACAACACGGCCCTACATATTAATTTTTTGAAATGTTTGAAATTTTGAAGTTTTCAATGGATTGCGAATTTGTGGCCTTTCTATAAAATGGAAAATGAAAATTTCAAAATAGTATTCTCAAAACCTACCAAGCCAGAAAGCAAGTTTTATGGCAAAAATGAGTTGATATTTTCAAATTATGACAACATAATAGGTTTGGCATTGTTTCATTTCATATTTCACTTTTCATAATCAGATAAATGAAATATACGATGCAGCAGACCATGTAAACGAAAGAAAAAACACCTGGTGGATTAGTTGGTAAAAGCTGTGTTGTCCATTTGTCCCAGGTTCACCAAAATCAATTTCACCAGATTCATATGGAAGAGGTACACCATCAATAGATACACCTTTCCCATTACTCTCCATGCTAACCTAAATTCAATCAAAATTCAAGGAAGACAAGCTAACCTAACCTCAATCAAAATTCAAGGAAGACAAGAGCAGGAATTTAAGATGAGTGGAACAAAATGAAAGCAATGAAAATTAAAGTCTGAACTCAAGCATGCCTGTTGTATATGTGGCGCGAACTTTTCCAAAGCTTGAGAATACGGCAAAATAGCCTGAAATTATCAATAAAAGAAATCTGGAATAAGCTCTTAAGCGTTATGAATTGTAAGATCAAGATGAGAAAACCCACTAAAGTGAGATAAGACTCACTCAAGCAACAGAATGCAAATCTGTAATACACTTACTCTAGCAGGGTATCCAAGGAATGTGACATTCCATATGCTCAACAAGCCTAAGATCACCTACAAAAAATGATGCAATGTCAAAAGGTACTTGGGTGGGTACGAGTGAGTACGACAGGATAATAATTTCTATTATGATTCAAAAGTCCATTCAATTGAGTATCACGCACAGGTATGTTCTTTTCAAAAGGGGTGGAAGAAAAATGCTGATCAATACTTGAAGCTCCCTTCAGAAATCTTAACACCAAGAAGCATAAACATGTCAGGAGGCAGTTAGCAATCGAATTAAAACAAAGAAAAATATAACGATTATCTTAGAGGGGAGAGGATGGTGGGATATTTGTGCTTGGTTAGTTGGTTAGGAGAAGTAAAAAGAAGCAAGATGTGGAGGACTTTCCAACACTGGCCTCGTTTCCCACTCCCCATCTTGAGGTATTTTTGATGAGTGAACGCATTGAATCCGTGTTTTTTGGTTCATGACAGAATATGGAATGCTTGTTTGAAGTGAGATTAAGATAAGCAGAGTGTATGCCCCGAAATCACATACTTGACTCATTTCACAATTCACACTGCCCTGAATTCACATACTAAGGGCAAACTACAAAACAATATTCAACACCTTTCCCCTACCTCTTTAGCCCAACCAAACATAAAAATTATCTAAATCCCGCCCACTCACTCATCTTCCCTCTTGGGTTAAAGTAGTTTTAAAAAACCCAAAAAAAAACTATCATATATAGGACACCATTTCAGTCTCAGACCAGACTTAATATTAAACATATCGGATCATAAAATGATAATAAAATACGTATAGTATCAAACCAGACCAGACAAATAAGTTTAAGTAGAAATGAACAGGTCCTTAAGAGACAACCGAAAGCATATATATGTGTCTGTGTATGCAAGTATGACGTATATGCAGGAAAACTAATTGTATAGATAACATACCCACCTATGTTACAAAATACAAAACAAAGATAGCACTACATATCTGTGCTAAATAGTACGTAGTACTTAGGAAGAAATCAGTTCAGGTGGAAGTATTCCGAATAGTTTAAGATTTATTGGGCTATACTCAACACTTTCACAAATTGTAATGTTTTTTATATATCATGAACTTTTGTTCAATAATAACATATTGTACTTCAAGTTAAAAATAAGGCAATACACAACAAACAGTTTTAGAACATTCATGAAATATGTTTTATACGAAGTAGCACTCATTGTCAGTGGTCCCTTCCAAGTTCCAATACTACCACAACAACAACAACATCCACACCTTAGTCCCAAAAGAGTTTGGGGTAGGCTAACATGAATCGACATATGAAATCAGAGCTAAAAAGATAATAAATAAAAAAAGATAAAAGAGATAAAAAGATAAGATAAGATAAGATAAAGATAAAAATGATAAGATGAAAAGGATAAAAAACGGAAAAAAAAATAAAGAACATAAAATAAAAAGATACTGTAAAAAAAATAAATGATATCAATCCTCCACACGAATATTCTCCCTCCACTTTGTGCTCTCCAAAGTCATACTCTCACAGAGTCACGGGGGTGGAGACAGGGAGGGGCTGGAGGTGGCCATGGCCCCAGCAAGAAAAAAAAAATTTAAGTATATATTATGTATAAATACTTTTAATCTGTAGAAAGTATGTTGATATTTTAAATTTTGGCCCCTGCAATATAAAATTCTTAAGGACCGGCCCCTTTAACCATAAATGTGGCTCCGCCACTGTACTCTCATCCAACCCATGAAGAAGCATAACATTTGTTGCTCTTGTGGTCTACGTCTGTAGATGAGATGGATGTAATAGACTATTTCAAGAGACTTTTTCCACGTTTCTGGGACTAAGACTCATCTTGGAAATTTAGTTTACTACTTTTGAAACAAAAGTGCCACAATCAAAATGAAATATTTTTCACAATGGAAGTATGAAGTGTGTTGGATTCAAATACACTTCACCCACGGCCCACCCAATAAATCCAAATAATATATTTCAACTGGGGAATAGAGTCTCAAATCCGCATGAGGCCATTTTGTGGTTTCATGCATGTAAAAAGCGAGGAGAAGGAGGAGACTTGCGGGAGGTGAATGACGGCCAGTAATATAACTTAGTCAAACTCTTTTGGAAGTAAGGCTTGGATGTTGTTGTGGGAATAGATAATCTTGACCTCTATTTGATCCCGGTGGATATCATTGATTCATAATACGCTGTTACAGCTATCAAGGTTGCATTACCTTCTTTATCCACAAAATCATTCCCAATTTACCCCCCCCCCCCCAGAAAAAGTTGCAGAAATGGTTTTTATTACCCCAGCATTACAGCATTATAAACATGTATAGGCATGAATAGAAGGTCAAAATTACTTCTCAATAATAGGAAAACCATATTGCAGAGAAAGAGGCAACACTCCAACAGCACTGCAAACTGCAAAATAAAGTTTATGAATTAAAAACCATCTATATATAAATAAAAGTTATAATTACACAAATATCAGTATGCTCTTATAAACTAATCTTACCACTATAGCGGCCTCCAACCCAGTCCCAGAATGCAAATGCATTCTTAGGATCAATGCCAAATTTTTCAACAAGCTGCATCAAAGAGTGAATGAATTAAGATTGCCATGCTTTTGTACCATGATGCTCAGCATAACCCAATCAGCCACACACATAAATGAGATAAATCTTCAAAAGTTACTTATTTAAATGCTACAACATTTTTAATTGTGTATAGTGTATACTTTACTCCTCTTTCATTTCTTAAAAAGAAAACGGAACTCTACTGAAAAAATTAATCTATGGTATGAATGATCAAAACCCCACAAAAGAGGCCACAAAAGACATGTATGGTCAATATATGTTCACATCTGCAACCATGGCCTGGTCCCAAGAGCCCAAGAGGTTATTCAAAGAAAAGAATAAAGAAGAAATGAACATACTGTAAGGTTAGTGCTAACAGCAACCATATGCTTGGCAACGGCTTGAGGGCTACAAAAAGAGCACAGAATTACTAACTGTATATCTATGGTCCTGAAGGCTGGAATGTACAGTTCTATTAAAAGTCCAAATAGAATGTGACAGTAGATATTTGTTCCATTATCAGTGTGACAATTTGAAGGCTATCAATCGTCATATATATAGCATAATATTCACCATTTACTTCAAGCATCCTCATCCATGTTTCGCACATAATCAGACTTTTCTGGTTTCCACTTTTAATTATTTTCAAAGTTTTTTTAATAATCTCAAAACCATCTAAATGACCCTCACCTATTATTTCCAAATAATCTGAATTTTTGTGAATCCTGCACCACTTATTACCGTTAGTTTCACATAAAATACAAATTGATCCCGAATTATTCTCGCAATAATCTCACTAACTGAAACATGCTTACAAAAAAGTATTGGACACATCATAAACTCTATCCCCTAATAATTTCATGGATGGCGATGCCATTAGTCTTCCAGAGATTTGTCTATCATGCTTCAAATGCAACACAAACATATTTCCCTGTCTTTATCAATAGATGCTAATCGCAAGCTTGCTGCTAGCCACAGTCAATGGCTCACTAATTGCAGCAAACTACTAATTTACAATGTAGAGATGTGCAAGGAATGGCAAAATACTTAGTTGTTGCTCTTACCCCAAAGCAGATGAGATCCATTCTCTCATTGTCCGAGCATTCAACATAGTCTCAGCAGTCGTAAAGGTCTTTGACACCACAACAACTTTAAATCCATGCAGGAAAAAATAAGGAAATGTCAAAGCTCAAAAGAGCACATATCAAGTTGTATACGTGAAATGAAAGTTGGCATACCTAGGGTGGTTTCAGGATTTAAGCCTGTTATGTTCCTGGCAATGTCAATCGGGTCAACATTTGCTAGACTGAAGCACAAAAAGAGAAGTCATGATTCAGGATATAGCAGTTGGCAGTAAAACCTAATTGTGCAAAAAACTTAAACTAAAACAAAACAAATTAAAAATGCTTGCAAGTCTTTTAAATGGATCGATTATGATTTCGTATTACTTACAAACGCAGTTGGCGCCCTTTTGCACATCCCATTGCCTCTGGCTCTGAACATTAGTCATTGATAACATTTTACACATCGGTCGTTCGAGTTTCATCTTTTTAGGTTTGGATTGGGAATGGGGTAAAGCTTGGGTATGGGGAGGGGGTAGAATTAAACCCTAGAAATGGAATGGAAATATAAAAACTCAAACCATACCTGTTTGAAGGGCAGTGTGCACAAATAAAGGACCTAAGAAACTCCCTCCTATACCAATAGCTACAACATCTTTCAATTCTTTCCCCGTGGCTCCAACCTAAAAATGAACTTATTCTCATTCCCATTGAGACTTGTCTTGAAGAAAAACAACTTGATTGATAATATTAATAACTAAGATTACCCAGGCACCACTGCGAATTCTATCGGAGAAATCTCGAATCTTATCAAGAACTTGCCAGACATCATGAACCACATTCTTCCCATCACTATTTATGACAGCAGCCCTGGGAGCACGCAGTGCTACATGAAGCACGGATCTGTCCTCCGTGCTGTTTATCTTCAAACCATGATTAAAATGATAATCCATCATACTGTAATGGAAGAGTATAAATTCCAGAACCCTAATAATAAGATGATTTGACTATTTCTGATTAAGTTTTATGAAATTAGACATAAATTAGTAAGTATAGTGTGGAGTATCTCTAGATTAATGAAGAACATTTGTCTATTAACTGCTGCAGTTTGTACTTACTACTACCACCGAATAACATGTATGTATATTATTATTAGATAATTAGAAAATACGTATCAGTAAAATTATTGATCTGCAAGCTGCCAAGTATTCATACACTCAAAATCATAACTAATGCTAAGTCAAGACATATACGCAAACCATCACTCACATGTTCCCCATTGAACATCCTGCTAATCTTCTCCTTGAGATGTGCAGCCTGCAATACCAAAAGAGGAACGGTAATCAGCAAACTGGTACTGAGGCGTGAGCATTCAAGGTTTTCTACAACCGAAACTTCCAAACAAACCTCAGCCAAATTCAAGAGCCTCTTCATAGTCTCAAGAGTAGCTCGCTGCCTTGAATAGTCCAGAAAAATCCCATCGAACTCCCTAAACATACATACATTAGCAGCTTAAGCAGCCGTGTAACAGAGAATGAACTGCCTCACAATATAAACCATTTCTAAGACATCCAACGGAGAACAAACAATGAAGGAGGAGGACGTGAGATCAGAATTCATACACCATCATAGACTTGCAGCGTTCCACATCACTCATCAGGCAGCGCAAATGAGTCTTGTTGATCTCATCCACATGGACCTGCATTATCCAACGTCAATAACTCCATATCACTCGGAGTCACAAAAGTTCAGGAAAATATGAAAGTTGGAACGCAATCAAATTAACGGCAATCACTTACTTTCAAATCATTCCACGGCTGAGAAGCACAGATTAGAGCAGAGGACGCCATCTTCAGCGATTAACAATCAATCCAAGGCGTCAAAACACGGAGAGTATATGAATATAGCGCAACGACAGGGGACGGATGATCGGAATTCGAGAACAGTTTTCCGGTGAGCGATCAATAGTGGAAGAAGGGACACTAATACATAAAATGCATCCAACAAAGAGAATAGCTGAGAAGGGACAGAGCAAATCCCCGAGTTATGGTGAACAGGTGTTGAATTATTCTGCGTCCACAGCGCTATTCTGTGTACGCCATCCGGTAGACTGGTAGCAGCTGGTTTTGGACCTTAGCGAATTCCATTTTTTCATCAAAATCAAAATTTGTACTAGCCTCTTATACTTTTTTTTTTTTATTTTTTTTTTTTAACAAACAAAATATTGTCTTTGAACAGGATTCAGATAAAAAATACACTTCACAAACATAGTGGGTATAATGGATACATCTTGTTGTTTTTTCATTGTCTCTGGAAATATCAATTTTGTCCTCATTTAAAGACAAAATCCAAATTTAGTTCGTGATCAACTGATCATACTCCGTAATTCATAACATTCAGGTATCACCATATTATGTGATGCTAAAAGTAAATAATTACTCCGTACATTCGTTTTAAATTTTTAATGCAGTAGGACTTCATTTATATAATTAAATTAGATTAGATTTATTGAAGAAATCATTTTAATTTGGTCGTAACTTTCAATTCTGAATCTTTTTTTTCTGACCTGTTATTTTCTTACTCAGTATCTTATACGGAGTACAACATATTTTTTGACCAAATTTCTATCTTATGACCAATAATTGGGATTGTGATTTGAACATGTAATTTCTTTCTTGAGAGTGCTATAATGTTGTTATCGAAAAATTTAGTTGACTCTTTATATTTTTTTAATTTGGTTGTAAGTTTTAATTGTTCACTCAAAAAATCTTAGACTGAAAATGTAGAATCAAATAATAGAAAAGGTAATGAAGCATCATATGAGTAAGAAGATGGTATGTTCCTTTTATTCTTATTTATTGTTTATTCTTTATTCAAATCAGATTAGAAAAATTGAGATCAGATCAGAAAAGTTCAGACCTGAATTATCCCTTTTATAATAATGATAATAATTATTATTATCATTATTATTATTACTATTATTGTTGTGTTGTTGTTATTGTTATTATAAGGAGTAATTATAACTATAATTATAGAAATATATATTATAATTATAATTGCAATTAAAATTATAGAAACAATTATAATTAAAAATATAATAATAATTATAATTATAGCTATAACTATAACTAGTGTAATAGATATGACAATAATTATACCTATTATAATTATAGTTTTAATTATAATTGTGATTATAATTATAATTATAATTATAATTTGTTTATAATTATGATTATAATTATAATTGTATTTAATTTATATTTATAATTATAATAATTATAATTACAAATATAATTCTATAAATTTTCAAATCAGATCAAAAAGATGCAAATCAAATCAGATCAGAAAGGTTTATATCAGATCAGATAAAAAAGATTCAGATCAGATCAGAATTTAAAAATTCAGATCAGAAGCATTCAGATCAGAACTTATAAAATCATTTGAATATAATTTTATAAATATTCAAATCGGATGAGAAAGATTCAAATCAGATCAGGTCAGAAAGGTTCAGATCAGATCAGATCAGAAAGATTCAGATCAGATCATATCAGAACTTAAAAGATTCTGATAAAAAACATTCAGATCAGGTGAAGAGAACAACTTCTAACTTAGAGCATGATATATGTCTCGAATAATTTTAGGATAACGTTTAAGGAACATGGATGAAAATTGATTTCATACTCTATAAGATAAATTGATGATTCTGAAACTTTTATTGCAGGGATGTCGAAGGCTTGGATGGGAGTCCTGTCTCTGCTGGAAGCTGAGTTGATAGGAATTCATGAAGCTTTGAATTGGATCTTGTTGATGTGGAGTAGGGTTCTTTTGGGGTAGTTTCAGAGGTTTTGAAGGAGTCAAGCATTTCCTCAGTAGGTTTCTTGGGCGGTGATATTCGAGATTGCATCTTGTTTTACGGATAATTCTTTTTCCATATTAAGCGATTAGTGAACAGGGCGACTCATGAATTGGCTAAGACTGCATGTTCTATGTCTGATTGAATTTGTTAGGGTGGTTATCCCTCGTATTTTTATTACTCATGTATTAAACGTTGATTCTATGAATGAAAGTTTATCTTTTCTTTTAAAAAAAAAAGACTTTCTCATTCATTAAGAGTATGACTCAAATAAAGTTCAATTCAGCCTATTTATTTTTAAGTCCTAATATCCTAACACTTCGTGTAATCCAAAGAATCATTTTTTGTGTACACCCCTCTATTTTGGGTGTTTTACGAAGGCCATCATAGATTTAATTGCATCATTTAATATGAATTGCTTTTATAAACCATGCAAAATAGGACAATGTACAAATGATGCCAAAATAGTATACAATTAGAAAATTTCATTCCATAATAATATAATGTAAACACATGGTGAATGTTCCCTAACTAATGGTATCTATGGTATGATGTTAAAAATAGTCATGTCTTTTTGCAAGAGGAATGATATAGTCTATTCGGACTTGGCTAATCTCGTTTGAAGGCCTTTCTAGTCAAATTGTTTTATGCATTTTTGTGATCATTTCTGCAAAACATTCACACAAAATTTCAGTTTAAAATTTTACACTTCATGAAGAACATGCTCATAAAATTTCATAAAACAATTCAATTCAGAAGGCCCTCAAACAAGCTTGGCCGGACAACGGTTCCTGTCTGCCTAGATCATTCCTCCTTTTTGCAAATCGTGACCAAAGTAAGACTTTCTAAGGTTTTAAAATTTTAAAAATCATAATTTAGTAGTATTAGATAACATAAATAAAATATAAAAAACATTATCAAATAAAACTCTATACGATAAGTTGAATTTGCACTTGTGCTCTTGTACAAAATAAACACTCAATCAAACACACCCATTCATACAAAATAATTAATTGGAATTTTTAGAGGGTATGTGCCACAATTGTGCACCATATGTGGCCTTTTATCACAATAAAACAGTATTTCAGGCAGTGTGCCACAATATCTTCCCAGAAGGAACCTCACTAGAGCACTGTCCAAATCAATTAATTTTGATTTTTTGCAATGTGAGTATGTGACCAAGACCAAATTCTGAATTTTTTGGAACCAATTATTTCGATCATTTGTAACTTTGAATAGTTGAGTCATGAAGAAAGAAAAGGAGAAAGAACAATTGAAGCAAAGAGATTGAATGAAAAAGGGGAAACACAGAAAAGAAAAAATTAAAGGAGTGGACGATTGCAGATCCTACCTCCACGGTTACAGATCCGAACCCTGCCGCTGCAGATCTGACCGACCTCGCCACTTATGTCAATATTTTCATTAGAATGCCAAGATGAATCGAAAAATGTCATATGAATGCATTTTCAAGGGGAAATATGGTATTTGTGAAGTGTAAGAATGTCATTTTGATGACATTTGCGGATTAAATTTGGAATTTTTAACGGCCAAATAAGAAACAGAGCTCAAGATCTGCGATGAAAAGATGAAACGAAAGAGATGTGCTAAAAGAGGAAACAAGATAACCTTTTCCAACAAACATTTGCAGTCATCTTTTGTCAAATAATGCAAAGTAATGGATAAAGTAATGAATAGAGTGGTTAAATAATTAAGGTTATTAGGGGAGAATACCTTGTGATTTGAAACATTTGGACACCAAATTGCTTTAAACAATCCATTTTACGACTATTATACAAACGAACAACGTGCAAATAACTCTTCTTTGATGTACGAGTTTTATATTGAAGTTCATTATATATGGCATACAACTTCAAGTGCAAAGAATATCTTCAAGATCTATCTTTAAACTTGTAAACATCATTCCATATTGAGTGAGGATAATAGTGAGTGATGAGTTCCAAATTATGATTAATGGAAATTGTGTCAAAAGAAGGTGAACGGGGAGAATGTAATTGGAGGTAAGAAACTTCATACATTAAACTACGACAAATAACATCAATGGTTGTAATAGGGCATTTGGATGTGTGTATATTGATGGGGTTATAGGACTAGGTCCAGAACCTAATCGGCCCAAGTCCCAAATTTGTACCCGTCAGTCCAAGCCCATGACCTGAGCTAGCAGGCCCAAGCCCAAGCCTGGAAGGCTGCCTATTAGCCCAGGCTCAAGTATCAGGCCTGTCAACCAGGAAGAGTAACGGTCAAACAATTAATGTGTTGTTTAATTACGTATTTAATTCTATATTAATGTTGTAAGTAATTAGTCATTTATTGTGCATAGCTGTTTCCATTTGTAAACGCCAAAAGGCAAGTTGTAATTCAAATTAAGGAAAAACTATTTCTGGCAACTAAACCTCCTTTGTAACTTTCCCGTTTCGAACTTGTTGTTTCCTGAGTGTTCCTGCCGTAGATTTCCCGAAAAGCCTATGATTGTCCATTTGTGGACCAACATATAGCATAGCATTTACTTGATGAACAAACTAGGTTCACCAAATGAAGAACCTTCATTTGATGAACCTCAAATATCACATATAACAGTGTCTGCTAAAGAAACCATGAACGTGTTCCACCCACAAGGAGTATTTTTGACAAAACGTGTGACATTTATCAATCATAAAAGACAGCTTGAACTGGATATTTTATTTGTAATTACTAAATAAGTAAGATAGTAGAGACATAAAGGCCTGTTTATAATAACGAAGGTGCGGAGCAAAGTTGTCATTACGGTTGAAATTGTAGTCACTGTCTCGGCTACCATCCAACTTCACCATAATCAAAACAACATAATCCAAATGGATACCTAGGAAGTTACAAAATAAAAGGGTAAAAAAAAGGATTTAAAAAAAGGTATAAAAAAAACAAAGTAAACACGATATTTTTTAACATTAGTCGAACTGAACAAAAATTTCAAGTATTTGGCTGATCCAAAAAACATCAACTCATAGACAACCATAAGTCAAGCACTACGGCATTGACTGTATTCATAAGACTAGATTCAAATATACACAATATTAGCTACAAAATTGAAAGATGAAAGATGACTCAGTATGTGCATCTGGACGTAATCAGCTGAGTTTTTCGCATTGAGCGCCTGCAATATGTGATTCTTCAATGTGCCTTGTAAGCAATGATATACCATGATGTGATGCACTTGAAGCAGCATAACATGAGGTCTTGTAAATTTTTGTAAGTGCATAATTACCAGACACTAGGGCCTGTTTACTAACAGAGATATTTTCCTGTTTTCTACTTCTGTTTTTCGTTCTCCAATTTTCTGTTTTTATTTTTCAGTTTTTCTATCTCCAATTTTCTGTTTCTATTTTTTAGTTTTCCATTTTCAAATTTGAAAACATGTTCATCAATTTTTTCACACAGTTCTCCAATTCCACACCATTGACCCCTACCTCTACCCTTATCACGATCTTACACTCTACCCATACTCCACCACAACCCTTCATACCCACCCATACCTACTCGTAGGGGTCAGGTAGGGAAGTTATGGGTGGGGGTGGGGTAAGGGGTATGGTCGGGGTGGGGTGGTAAGGTCTAGGGGTAGGGGGTTGGGTGGGGGTAGTGGGTGGGTTATGGTCGTGGTTAGGGTTAAGGGTGGGGTAGTGGGTAGGGTTGGGGTAAGGTAGGGGTAGGGTAGGGAGTTGGGATAGGATGGCGGTAGGGTGGGGTCGGGACCAGGGTGGGGCCGGGGTAGGGTGGGGGTAGGATGGCGGTAAGGGTGGGGGTAGTGGGTGGGGTTTGGGGTTGGGGTAGGGTAGGGAGTTGGGATAGGATGGCGGTAGGGTGGGGTCGGGACCAGGGTGGGGCTGGGGTAGGGAAGGGGTAGGATGGCAGTGGGGGGTAGGATGGCGGTAAGGGTGGGGGTAGTGGGTAGGGTTTGGGGTAAGGTAGGGGTAGGGTAGGGAGTTGGGATAGGATGGCGGTAGGGGTGGGCCCGGGAACCGGGTGGGGCCGAGATAGGGTAGGGTGGGGGTGGGGTAGGATGGCGGTGGGGTGGGGCCGAGGTATGAGCCATGTGGTAAGGGGTAAGGTAGGGGTAAGTGGTAATATACGAGGGGTGGGGGTAGGGTAGGGTGGGTCGGGGTGGGGTCGAGGTGGCAGGGGGGTGGCGGTAGGGTAGGGTGGATCGAGGTGGGGTCGAGGTGGTAGGGGGGTAGCGGTAGGGTAGGGTGGATCGGGGTGGGGCCGAGGTCGGGGCATGTGGTGGGGGGTGGGGTAAGGTCATTATAGGGAAAAATGGGTACGTGGGGTGGGGGTTGGGTGGGTAGGGTAGGGTAGGGGTAAGTGGTAAGGTACGAGGATGGAGGTACCGGAATGGAATCGACATCGGAGCGGGACCGGACCCACCACTAGGTGTAAGTATGCAAATTCATTGCAAAGACACTGTAGCATCTGCGTTTTCCAAATTTGGAAAACTAGTAAAAGTCACTTCTCCAAATCATTAAGGAAATGAGAGACATGTTTCATTTTTTCCGTTTTGGAAAACGATTTGGTAAACGCGTTTTTCTTTTTTCCTTTCTCCAATTTTTCCAGGAATTTCTTTGGTAAACACGTTTTCCTGTTTTCTGTTTTCCAGTTTTCCAGTTTTCTGGAAAACTGGAAAATATTTCTGTTAGTAAACAGGCCCTAAATGCTGCACTAGCTGCAGAAAACATCAGAAGTGGAGAAACCCCAAATATAAAAGGAAGCCACTTTGGTCCCTTGACACGCTTCTGAACAAAGGGGATTCCTGTGTTCGACCCATAGACTGTGCTAAGCATTCCGCCCATTACAGAGCCAGCCACCGCAGTAAAGTCGTGCAAAACGGTGTGATTGTCCATTCTGCGTTGTCACTTGTCAGAGGTGGGGTTTAAGAGAGACAGACAGCGAGGACAGCGAGCAGAACCCAGTCCAGGCTTGATAGTCGGATCATGATGCAGATTCCCTGTTCTCAACCTCTCTTCATAAACCTCCCGAGTCCCCAAAGCCACCGAGTAAACACGACATACACTTGTACAAATGTCAAATAAGTAATGTTAAATCACATTTTGCGATAAGAGTGTAATGCGAAAGGCAAATGCATTAATATTGTTAACCCACATATTGCGAGAAAAACAATAGGTAAATATTATTCTAGAGAGAGATAAACATCGAGAATCTCTTAAAGGGTGTACATATTTTAACAAACAAAGTTAGAGTGAAAAGGTGAACACAATTTCAACTGAAATTACCGAAAATGTCAAATATTATTAATGATTAAGCCAAGAACATGATCATAAGTTCATATGTGAAATCTAGTGTAGATGACAAAACTGAGGTTGATCGGAGTATTATGTGAACAATCCACAACACGCAGTGACGGAGCTAGAGATGTCAGGTTACGGGGGCCAGGACTTAGAGAAATCATATTGGAGGGGGGCAGACTTATAATTTTTCTATATTTTTTACTTCTTATAAATATGTATACATATATGTATACTTCAGAGAAAAGCATAAAACTATGGCAGACATTGTTTCCCTCATACAGCTGGATATTATCCATGAATTCAAATTTGAAAAATTACTTAATGAAAGGGCATATTTATGCACAAACTGAAGAGAAATATGAATACGATTTCTAAGCCAAAGTGAATACCAGTGTTTTCAGAAAAACTACGAAGGAATGATGTTACTCGTTCACTTGTATAGAGAACACAACGAAGGAAGGAAATGGCAGGAAAGCAATATTAGAAGAGAAAACAATTGGGAACGGACATAATCGCCACATGAATCAAGCAAAGCCGGGGTAAATGCCAGAAATAAACTGTTATAAGAAGGAAAGAGGTTGTTGGCTGACCTGCTATAGCAAGTGACCTAATAAAATGAACTGTAAAACTCTCCAGGGGTAGATTTGGAAATGCTTTTTTATAATGTTCATTAGAAGTAACTTGCTACTATAAGAGGCAATTTCTGTTTTACTCCTATAAGAGGTAATTTCTATATTATATCTCGATCTAATGTTTCAATTCCCAACTGTCTTCCTCCATCCCTTTGTCCATCTCATTGTCAGAAAACTAGAGGCATATTGAAATAACGAAAAGCAGGAAAAAAAGTGTAGGCAGAGACTAATCATTTGCAATATACCCGTATAATTTAAAATTTTAAACTATGCATCAAATAAATGTAGAACAGCATAATGAGATGATATTTAGAGAGATTGAGAGAGAAAATATGTCTTAATAGTGTAGGAACTAGGAATGCACCTAAAGATTAAAGATACAATTCAAAATCTAAAGTCACCAACCAAATACTTGAATAAACATGTGTAATTCTTTGATAAGTAAAAATATATAAAAGCATTGGAAAATATTGTTAAAAAATGCTAACCCAGTTAAAAAACCAATACCTTATTCAAAAAAATGAAAAGCCTTCATAATTTTAAAATGGTTTGATATCATACAGGACCATTTGGAGCCCAGCTGGATGGCAGGCTTCAACAAATAGTACCAATTCAGATCTCCGTTCTTTTGGATTCAATCATCAGGCTTTTTTCAAAAGAAATCAGAAACTAAGACACTGTTCACAGATTAACTTTATGCGCCCTGGGTAAGGAACCGGATCTTTTTCTGGTTTTTTAATCCCAAAACTACAATAATGCACACGCTACCATTATGATGGCATGAATTACATAGGGTTGCGTTTTCATGATTCAAACACCAGTAAATGAGTTCGAGAGATAAACCTTCCAATATAAATCAGTAATGCTTAACCCCAAACAAAATCTATAGTAAAAATCAAAGAATTGATGCAATGAAGTAGATGAGTAATCAGTGTATACGAACGAATAGTTTTTTTAAACAATAAAATCGGTATAATATAAAATCCATGAACCAGAAAGTATATGCTGTTGATAAATACGGAATAATCAGTGGAGTATTAAAACCAGTACATTGAAATGTAAAAACCGGTGTCGCTCACCGTGGGGGGGAGAAGAGTTTCTAGGCAGCAACGGTAACATCACTCAAGTCCTAACTGCAGCGCTCCTCTTAGAGAAATATTGTGGCTGATTAAATAGGTTTGAGCTTATGCGATTGGGTTGTTTAGTTGGCCCGCTATGCAAATTTCCAGATTGGGCTACAAATAGCTTTTGACTTTTTTTAAATTGAATACAGTAATTCTTCATATACTACCGGACTACCCTAAATTAGTGTTTGAAGTATCAAGCTAAATTTCAATAACTGAAACCATTTCAATCCGATTTGCTATTATAATAAATAAATATACTAATGTCCTCTGTTCTATATTTTATACAAACATAATACATACTCCGTATAAAAATTGGTGTTTTATTTTTTTTAATGTTTATGTTCCTTGGTGTTCTTGTATAGAATTTTAGAGGTATAAGAGTATTTTTGTGTTAGGATGTTTTTATTTGGATTGTTTTCAGATTCAGACCAGATTAGAACAGATCAAAAAATTCAATCCAATTAATAACATCCTTATTCCTTGATATAAATCGATTTAAGAAAAGTGTCATTTTCATTCAGAAGAGGAGTTGAGCATATTTATCACTATGTTTTGGAGTAATTGGAAAGTTCATAATGAGTAATGAGTTCATCTAGAAGGAAACTTAATTCAATGATGGTCAGGTGGCAAAAAAGGACAGCGATCTTGCAGGGATGGTGCACACTGCACAGCTTAAGCAATGGCAAAGTCCATTTCTGAAGCAAGTGGAAGCAGGTGCAAAGTGGAAACAAGGATATGAAAGCGTGAAAGTGGAAACAGACACTCTAGTTGTATGATAAAGGCTCTCAAAAAGTCAAAAGGAGCCAACGATTATTATCTTGAATTATAATTATTGAATCAAATTTTATCTCACAAATTGTGCAGATCATGTTCTAGCTAGAGCTATCGTTCCACATGCGGATGGAAGAGCTATTTATGAAGTTATTCTAGATTTCATTTGTTCTTAACAATTGTTTGAATTAATAATATAAGGCTGGTTAGTTACAGTAAACAAAAATACTCTGTAATTGGTACTACGTATTTCTCTACAAGATTAAAACCAAACAGGGATCAAGTAGAACTAGAACAAACGCCGATTTGCAAGGATGGTTTTACTTAAACTGTTTTCAGTCTCAGACCAGACTTCCATAATTATAAAATACACAAATACCATACATTTATTCAGACCTGATCAGTTCAGGCCGGACCAATCAAACTTAAACACATCATACCGGCAAATTTTTGTCCAAGTAAAAACATCCACGTGTGGCGACAGGATTGATTGTTCTTCGTGTAAGCCTGTAACTCTAAAAGGGATTAGCTTAGTTTGAGAAGAGTAGTATAGATTAATTTTCCCGCTTTGCCCATACAAATTATTCTCATAAACAAAGTGATAAAGAAATTGTTGTTGTATCCACCTATCAGGAATTGGACTGGCCTGTCTACTGCCATTTTAGGGGGAACCAAGACTGTAACCCAGCATTAACCAGTACATAATACTGGTCCAGCTTCAGAACCATCCCAATGGGCAAAAGCTTGGGTGGTTTAACTGTCTCATTCCGGTTCACAGCTCCTCTTGTTTCAGTCTGGTTCCGGGACAACACCATTTGGACCAAAAGAGTGGGGATATTTGAATGGTTTCAAATCAAAAGTACTACATCATAAATAACTGTAAAATACTACTCTTACAACAGAATAACTTTAGTCTTCTACAACATTCATTTATTTTTTGGTTGTGAGGTAATTTTTTGCATACCACATTGTTCTAAACATTTTGGGGAAGAACAAATTCAAGTGTCTCCTTTTTCTTTTTGGTCTAGTTCGAAGAGGTGTGTTTGGAGTAGTACTGCCTTCCATCCCCATAGGTTTTACAGAATGATCTTCTTTTCCAGACCTTGCAAACATAGCAATGAAGAAGCCTTCTTTATCCTTCACCAGGTCAGTTCGCAACAAATTTTCAGCTGACGATATACAAAAGACTTTTCAGTAAATTGCATCACAGCTTTCAGCAATATTGCATTAAGATAAATGAATTACTCAATGGAATTTTTATTAGGGAAAATGTGCAAATATATCCTTGATGTTTAGCACCGGGTGCAGATATGCCCTAAGGTTTTGAAAGGTGCAAAAATATCCCTAGAGTCCATATTTAGGAGAAAAATTGTACTTATTAACTTTAAATAGAAAAAGTATTAAAAAAACAAGAATAAATTAATGAATTTGGAAAACAAAAAATATAAAAATATTTCTTTTATTTTTACAAAAAATGGAAGCATTGAACACAAAATGGATTTTATTTTTCAATCTCCAAACTCAATATATTCATTACTTTGTTTTTGGCAATTTTAAATATTTTTTTTTATTTGAAGTCAATAAGGGTAAGTAGCTCCTAAATATGAACTTTCGGGATATTTTTGCAACTTTCTAAACTTTAGGGGCATATTTTCACCTGGAGCAGAACATCAGGGATATACTTGCTCCTTTGTAGTTTTTATAATATCTTTGTAATTTGTCATAGCTTCTGAGTTGCGTTTTGCATTTGATTATGTGCCATTATGTCAACATCTATATTGAACATGTAGGATTGTTTTTGTATATGGAAAGAAATATGAATACATATAAACATGAACAACATATGGTAATATGTATACATTTTTATATTAACATATTTCCAGAGCCTTCTTGTTCTATATATTTTTATAAAATACCGCTTCCCACATTTCTTGTTTCGTGTTTCATATTTTCGTGCTACATAGCCAATAAAATATAAGGTTTAAACACTTACATCCAGCCATAACTGGAAGACCACGGTGAGGCCATTGGGGAAGAACGGTTTCCAGTTCAAATCCATGAGATGTGGCAAACGGTAGCAGAGAATGGATAACATCTTCATTCTCGATTTGGTGAATAGAGCAAGTACTGTATACAATTCTCTCCACTGCTGGAACTGCAACAAAGTTGGAAGTATGTCACTAGAAACTATGCTACATCACATATAGGAAAGCGAGATGCATGTCATAATCTAATGCTAGAGAGGATAAGAAATTATGTTAAAAGTTAAAACACACAAAATCATATACTCACAACGTAATGCATGTTCCAAAGCTTTCTTTTGGAAATTTGCAAGGTTTTGTAGTCTATCCAAGTCAAGAGTATCGAGTGTACCTTCAGAGGCGAAAGGAAAGCCTGTGACTTGCAGAGTAAAAGAAGAATGCCCGAGCTGGCCGAGCATACAAAGTCAACAAGATCAAAATATTTATCATGAATCAACTTAGCATAAATGGGGGTGATTGGGGATAACATTTGTACCAGTCCAAAAGTACAAAACTACAAATTGCAAACAGCTATTCTCTAAATAGAGAGCCATTGCATGTCTCCCCTTTAAAAATGAGTTGCCCATTGTGCGGCATCCAGTTTTATTAGCTATTTATGCAACTTAGAGATTGATTTTTTTAACTCTCCCTAAACCGTGATATTTAAATTGAGGCGAGAGTATTCTGAAAAAAGCTGATGGGACCCAAATAGTGAATCCATGAAACCAATCTGATCAACCAAGTGATTTTCCTTTAACAGAGCCTTTGCCAACATTTCTCTTACAAAAGTAGTCATTGAGCACAGATACAATCTTACACATTCCATTGCTGGATATGGGGTGTATTTAGCCTCTGGAGTCTCAATGAGTTTGCTGCTGAGTTTTCAATCTTCCAAAGGAGGCGAATAAATACTAGGTTGACTTTCTCAGATATTTCCAACACTGACTCCAGTTCGATAGGCTAATAATAGGTATTGGCTTAACAAATAACAATGGTTGCTCACCTTTCATATTTATAAGATGAGCACCTTCGTGAGCTTAGCTATGGCAGCATCTACCTGATCTATCGTATTTAGCAGAGCAACATGACCCTACTCCAGTGGTTCTGTAGGGTTTTCTATGTGTGGTTATGCAGGTGAAACCTAGAGATAAGAATTAAAGAGTACAGAACCAGATACTAAACACTAAGAAAGCTTTTATTAATGGCGGAAGTGAAGCAAAATAAACAACACGGTTTCCAAGAAACCCTCCAGTCTGGTAGATTTATTTTGCCCATTAGGCATTAACTATGCAGACCATCCTTTCCTCTAGGAGCAGTTTTATTTAGTCTTACAAGACAAAATAAAGAGGTAAGTACGGGTAAATTAACTATCATAAAAGGATTGACAAGATCTAGAAAATTATGCTAGATACAGAGCCATAATACTTGTCTTTGTCATATCTTTGCTTTCACTGTCTGTCTGTCTCCGATAGCAAAAGGAAAGTTTGTCGCAGCAATTAGGTAGCAAATTGGGAATCGCATTAGCATGGTGAGAGGTCTCATTCCTTGTAGATGTGGCCTTCTGACTAGTACTTAGTTTTGACTTGAGAAGTCTTATTATCTTCAGAGTATTGGATCTGAGCTGAAACCCATGACCCGATCAAACAAAATATAGTCTGTGATTGAGACAGGTATGATAGGTCTTGTGATTTTATACTTAACCTGAGATCTAGTCAATCCCAACCAATTCCTATTCACGATCTTAGCAACCTTGGTTTTAAGTTATACTCAAGTTCAATGTCAATATGTAAGCGCATACAGTAACTTATATGAACAACTACTAAATCCGTAAATTCTGGTGGATCATATGTATGCTATTTATTTAAATTGTATTTCATCACGCTTTATTTGTTACCTCCACTGGCCGATGGGAGAAGGTGGTCCAGCCTATCAAAAGCAGTCCCAGATCCAGAGCAAGATGGATCCAAAAGTATTGCACGAACCTATAAAGAGTGGGTCGTGATGAAGAGAAAAGAATATAAGAACATTATAGAAAACTGTATGAGCATTACATTGACACATAGTCACATACAACGATAAAGGGATGATCATGAATCTCAAAAACACTCTAGTCTCTTGCTCTGAAAAAGGGTATAGAATATGTCTTACTGCAGTGCAAACTAATTAAGAAGAAAAGTTTACATTAAAAGTGCAAGCTAGATAAAGAGTGGGTCGTGATGAAGAGAAGAGAATATAAGAACATTATAGAAAACTGTATGAGCATTACATTGACACATAGTCACAT